CGCTATTATATAGGTTGGAGGCCATCGCTATTAGGTTGGAGGCCATCACTATTAGGTTGGAGGACATCGCTATTAGGTTGGAGGCCATCGCTATTCGGTTGGAGGACATCGCTATTAGGTTGGAGGCCATCGCTATTAGGGTGGAGGCCATTGCTAGTAAGTTGGAGTTCGTTGTGCTCTCGATATTCGTTTTGTATGCTTCGTGGCTGCAATTCAGGCACGATGAGGACAAACTGCTTCGGAGCTCAGGGAAAGCATGCAGTCCTGGCAGTAAGTACTTTCTCATCCGCACTGATTGAGCATTTTCACTTCAAACTTCAAAAGGGTTGCAAGCTAAGGTGCTGTAAAAGCTGCCAGTGTCGTGTCGCTGTGGAAACATAGTTCAGGCATGTTCAGGCAATGTGTTACAATGAAATTGTGCTGTCACTCTGCGCAGAGCCGAAAGATTTCCACAACAATCAATGCATTCAGCTTCCAGCCGATGCGCCTTCTCGCGCTTGCTCCGAAAGCACGGCGAAACCTGGCTTTGCCCCACGAATCCAGGACGCAAAGTGCGTGCTGAGGACCGTCTTCCAATTTCAACATATATGTCACATTATGTCACATACGTTAACAATGATTCGTTAAGTTGTTGTTTTCCTGACCTCTCTACAGCTTAGAAAAGGCGGCCTGGGCAGCCCTGCATCAACGATTGCTAGCAAAAGAGTGAACACAACTTTGTCACAATCGCAAAACATGGTAAATCTTCCGACCGAAGCCAAAGTAGCATCTACACTCTGAACAAATGCGTGCCCATGGAGCCAGCAAGCTGTCCCTTCTTTTGATTGATTGGATGGAAACTCCACACTGTCCCATAGCTTGCTTGCTCGGCCACGTCGGCCTCAAAGGCTCCAAGGCGTGGATACCTGTTGGGTCGAAGCTGCTCGCAGCAAAGCAGGAGCATCACGGCCAGTCAGAATCAGTTTGAACGGAGAATTTAGGCTCACAAACGTAGTGACTTTGGGTCACAGTCCCAAAGGTTGTACTCGAAGCTTAGGCACACTTTTAGCTCACGCTTGCATGAGATCAAGTAGATCAAAATGAACACAAACTCAACCCAAACGGCTGCAGTGAAACCTACATCTAAACAAAGCTATGGCATGTACATGTAACTGGTGCTACATCTGATCACGCCTCACTAATGTGCTGAATTAGCTCGTAGCCCTTCAGTACCTCTTCAAGACCAAGATGTACCTACTCTAGCTCAAGCCGTTCACGCTTTCAAAGTCAGTTCACGCTCACCTTCCAAGTAGTGGAAGTTCATGCCTTTCATGGCTGTCGTCATTTTCTCTTCGGTGACAGCTTTCGTTAGCACGTCGGCCAACATTCGGTCGGTGCCTTCCTTCTTGAGACGAAACTCTTTCTTTGCTGTCCGCTCTTGTACCCAGTGGTACTGAGTGTCAACATGTTTAGCTCGTCCCAAACCTCGACGGTTTCCCATGGCGATGCCAGCGGAAGCGTCCATTGTCACCTCTTTGCTGGGAAACAATCCCCAGTCTCTTGCAGTTGATGCGACTCCAAGCATCTGACATGCTCCTGAAACAAGTCCATAGTACTCGGATTCGCCACTGCTTAGGGAGACAACTCCTTGGCCTTTGCTGTATGTAGTGAGACAGCATTTGTTGGCCATGAGCACGCCTCCTGACACACTCTTTCGTGTCCTTATGCAACCTGCATGGTCGGCGTCTGACCGCATATTGAAGGGGTTGCAGGTGCTTTGATTTGGAAACAACTGTGCAACTCTTGGTCGATACCTGACGTATCGAGCCAATCGTTTCAGCATATTCCAGTGCCTTGATGTTGGATTCTGTAGACCTTGTGCCAACGAGCGCGTTGCAGTTTGCAGATCAGGTCGATCTTGTGCCAAATACGCGGCTCTCATAGCAATAGATCCATACATCGTTGCATCTTCGGCGCTCAGCGGAACTTCTTCGTGTTGGAGTTCCTCTTGACTTGGCTTGGCCAAAGGTGTCTTGACCTTGCCTGGTTGACCAGTGCCTAACCACTTAATGATCAACTCTGCATGTCTTGGATCTGGTTCCCACCAAATGCCTTCATTTGACCAAGTGATGATGCGATTCAACACTCTGATCTGCTGGCTTGCTTTTGGAGAACCTGGTGGGCCAACAATGCCTCGTTCCACAACTTGCCATTCTTTGGCTGCTGAAGTGTGAAACCATTTAATGTCTTCAAAACTTCCAACTGTCGTGAAATCATCTCCATGCACTTCTGTTCGAAGTTCTCTGGATGCATGGTAGTAAATACATGGATTTGACTTTCCTTGTAAAAATCCTAGCTTCTTCATGACGATGGTCAGCACCTAGTTCATGGGTGCGTCTCTGGTGCCATACAGGCTCCTGACCAATCTTCCTACCACATCTCCATCTTCTGGCTTCTTGCCTTCAGATGGAATCTCGACATAGAGTTCTCTTGTTGCCTTGGAGTAGAAATGAGCTCTTTTCACATGTAAAAATCCTAGAAAAGATTGCTTTGTCTTTCTTTTCTCGCCTTTCTCCAATGGAAGGCTGTCGCTGACTGCAATGGTTAGCAGTAGCTTCAAAGCTGCTAGGCTCGGCATGGCTGCGAAAAATTCGTCAAAGCCTGAGCCTCTTTTGAGTTCTTGCGCCACCAATCGACTTCTATAGAGAGGATTGGTTTCGTCTTGCTTGTTCACATCTACCCATCGAGTTCCAATGATTTTGCTTCCTTTTGGAACTTTGCTTCTTGGGATCTTTTCCCAAACTCCCATTGATTCGACAATGTCGATCTCATCTTTTCTGGCTTTCTCTACCTTCTCAGGTAGAAGCTCTTTTCCACTGATGTCATCATAGTACCACCAGTCTTTTGCCTCTTCTGCCATTTCTTCTGGCAGTGGGATCTTCTCTTCACACACTGGTTTCTCTGGGTCGATGCTAGATAGAACTCTCTCTCTCTCTATCTTCTAGGATTAGGCTTTCTAGAGC